AAAATAGGATGGTTATGCCGCCGAGGAAGAATGATACTGATGTAGAGGATTCTTTCCACAGCTTTGATGGAGGCGTGGATGCGCAGTCCGTGTGACATGTCATGGGCGTCTGTTCAATTTTGGAACACGACAATACCCACAACTCTACAGCTTAGATCCAGTCCACCCAATCCACCTCGACGTTCGACACCATCAACCTCCAGTAAAATGTCGCATCTCGTTCCCAATCGAGAGTTTAGCAAAGATCATGAAAAAGTTATAGCCGCGGTCGTAGTGTCCCCTGAAGGACACGAATGGTCACTGGCTCGTACGACAGGATGCTTTATCTGTGGGACTTGAAGACAGGTGCTATGTTGAAGAAGATGGAGGGGAATCGTCATGAAGTGGCGGCGTTGGCGGTATCACGAGATGGACAATTGATAGCAAGTGGTGGTGATAAGGGAGAGATCATCATCTGGCATGGAGAAACTGGAGAGTATCTCGTCCAGGTGATGATGGCCGACTCCTATACGATCTTCTCGCTGGACTTCTCTCCTGATGGTACGGTGCTGGCCAGTGGTTCCATGGACTGGATGACGAAGTTTTGGAGCACGGCAACATGGGAGACGGAAGGAAATCCAATCGAGTCCAGTATTTGGGTCAACTGCGTTCGGTATTCGCCATCTGGCAAACTTCTTGCCATCGCAACAAACAGCAGTCTCAAAATTTACAAATCCGACACAAGGGAATGTGTCGCAGACATGGGGGATAATTACAAATCTCACTATTGGCACAGCTTGAATCATGTACTCGCGTGGGCACCCGATGGCACACGCCTTCTCTCGACGGCCTTCAAGCATGACGGTTCCCTGAGAATACTAGTGCAGGAGTGGGATACATCGACCTGGGGGCAGGTCGGTGATAGTTACTGGACAGGCCCTTGCTGTGGCCATATCAGAGGCATTGTCATTAATCCTGCTGGCACACTTGTCGCCTCCGCATCTGTTGACAAGCGGGTCCGTGTCTGGCGGCTCTCAGATCAAAAAACCATTGCCATCTTCCAGCACTCAGCCCCGACGATGTGCGTCACTTTCTCCGTAGATGGCAAGCATATCCTCAGTGGTGGTGAGGATAAGATGATATCAGAGTGGGCTGTACCCGAGGACGATGATTCACAGGCGTGTTTCCATCATTCATTGACTTGGGTAGCGTAATTCGAGCATGCTTTATGCCAGGTCCTCATCGATGATACGGCCGCCTGCAGTGCATGCGACGCGGAGGGCGTGTGTATCGCTACAAGAGAGCGATTGTCGAGTCCGAGTGACACGGCCCTCTTTGGGTCCGGTCCAACCACCCACGACTAGTACACCTCGCATACCAAACACTCGATCGTTAGGGCGCATACATCGACCGGGACCAAGTACTCGATGATGCACTCAATGTGAGATCGGATTCGTCCTTGCTCAGACCCTTACAGAAAACTGACTTCCATTGTAACATAGTCCGTCACCATTCATCCCCAGTAAGGTCTGATTGGGGATATGTTTCTAGTAGTGGTTGAGAAACTGGATTATGAAGTGGTGCGATTCACACATTTGGAATCAGACGGGGCAAAGCCACTAATGCTACCTTATGTTTTCTCTGCGAGAACATGTAGAAATCACACTGGCGCATATTAGTGCCTACTTTCGATTCCCTCGCTGAATGCGTTCAGAGATGTGTTTATGCTTGGATATGATTTTGTTATGTTAAAAACCATTAAAAACACGCTCCGCTAGTCAAAAAATACGGAAAAATATATCGGAAGCAGCGTTGAAAGTTTATGCAGAGAGGTGGAAATCAAAAACATCATGAAAAGTGAACACGAGCAGCTGCGGCTGGGACCTAATACATATTGCCTGCAATGGTTGTCTTGTTCCAATTGTTGACGTCTTTCAGGAAACCAATCCGTGGCAGTGTGTCAATCAAATGATAGTCACACGTTCACTGCCCTGGTCGAGGACGAGGATGTCTAAGACGCCTATGCTCTTGATAAAATCTGTGCGATGATGATAAGCAGGGAAAAGTCATAATGGGTGATAAGTTTACGAATGCCATAAACAAATTTAGGCATGGTCTGCAGCGATGTCATCTTTCAAAGTTGTAATAAGAGTCTTCAACAAGGCTGGTAGCATACAGCATGGTAGTAGAGTATACGGAGTAGCACGACTGGCCATCATATATAACAAAACCTGTAACGAATAGTGCAAAGTATCAATACGATACAAATTGGAGCGAAGAAGGAATAAGGGCAAGATATTCTGCTTGCTGCTCATCTGTCTCCTCTCCACTGTGGACGATCAGACTCTCCAGTGGACACTCTGACCGTGCCAGGAATGCTTTGAACTCCTCATGAGGCCACTCTGGTACACCGTAAACATAAAGTACGCGTAGAGTGGGGAGTGAGAGAGCGTCGAGCAGGTCGCAGAATTGGGACCCTGATTCATCAGGATAATCACAATAAATGCCTAAAGTTTGAAGGTTTGTGTGTGTGAATGGTCCTAACGCTTGGACGTCATCGAATGTGATGCGAATCATTAGCAACGATAGATTGGGGGCTAGCTGGAGCAAGTGGAGAGCAGCTTTTGCTTCCCGTACTCTGATACTGAGTGACGTCAGGTGGGCCCATACGGGATTGCAAGAGGATACCTCGTCGGAGTCGAATGACCACCCTCCTACGCGAAAAACTGCACAGAGTGGACAGTTGCGAGATAGAGCGTGACATACTAGCTGGCATATTATCACCGGGGATATAGGTATAAATGTACACGGACATCTCCTGAAGTGCTAGGAGGTTGCTGAATATATTGTGTTCAGGTGTGTCCGAGCTGGCATAGTAACAACCGACAGAGAGAGATGAAATTTGATTGACGTAAGGCTGAATAAGGTGTCGTAGCTTGGTCGAGTGAACATCTGAGTAGAAATGGAGTCTTAACGAGAGCGGACGTCCTCGTGCTCGCTTGAGCCAAGTGTCGTAGAAGAAGGTCGCCTGCTGCCAATTTCTGTCGTCGCTTTCTACACACAGCACACACCACAAGTTAGGCATGCCCACAGCAATTTCCCTCCACCGTCGACATATTTTGGTCAACAGCATAGGTGCTGTTAGCTTTGATGGGCGCCGCAATTGATCTAGTTCCGGAATTTGCGGGAGACAGTGGCAAAATATTTGGGACAGGACTTCAGTTGGCAAGCGCCAGAGGGGTGATACGAGCCTCTTGTGCAAATTAATGGATTCGATGATTTTGTTCTTCTGCTCGAAGAGTTGCTGCTGAAGTGTGTGGATACCATCCATGACTGTTTGCAGACCGGAGATGTCGTGCGAAAGTGCTTCCAACTGGTGTTGGCGTTCGGTGATAATGGCACTGATGCTCTGGTCTTTGAGCTCAATTGCACAGTGATTGGGATTGGGGAACGTGGTTCGGGAGTACGGCGTTTCGAGGTCGGGTATCTGCTAATGTTCAATAAAGCATGGGATACATCCTCATGGACGCACAGTTGCTCGTGAACATAGCTGAAGCGAATGGTTGTTATTCGCAGAGGAGTGTCTAAAACTTCGGCACTTACGATGGTCTGCAGCGCAACAATGATATCCGAGACCGTCGAAAGATTGACATTTGAATTGTCTGTTTGCATGTTGTGACTCGCAAAGTACGTGCAACTTGGGAAGAGTTCAAAGAGGCTTAGTGTGTTATTCGTTCGAACAACAAAATAATCCAAATTGATGCGGCGGATGTTATTTTGTGCGCGTGACGTGATTGGTCATCTAAAATGATCTGACTTTCATGCTAACATATTCAGACGTTTGTCAACTGGGTTTTGGCCTGCGGCTTTAGCGGTCTGCGGTTGCAATTGTCCACTAGGAAGGTGCATCGCGAAGTTCTAGAGTCCTCGACAGGAGTCAGGCATCAAATGTACTAGCCATGGCGTTTTATCAGCATTCATCATGAACTCATTCGATTCGGCTGCATCGCTGTCTATAAGTACAACCTATCCTCAGAGCAGCAAGCCCCACACTGGCATGCCCACATTCTCAACTTTACGGCTATCTTAACATTTTTACAAAAAGCTCATCTTTCCTCGTTGGTGACCGCAACCCCTCCAATTGCAATAGCGACAACATGGTCTCTCCGTGGCTCGTTCGTGTGGTTGCCATAATGCTGCGCGTACGCTTCTCAGTTTTGACTATATAAGTTAAGCCCTCCGAGTCCGATGTCTGTCCTCAATGCATGTTGGTGATGTGACACCATTCGGAACAGCTCCATGGGTTCCGCATTCGCGCAGCTCTAGCTCTAGTGCGTGCTTTTTTGGATGTGTTGACTTCCAATGCTGACATTCGGGTTCCTCACCTGACTTCAGACTTGATCAGTTCGGCCACTGACTCCTGAAGTGCTCACCGGGTGGAAATGGGAATCGAGACGCAGTGAGTAGACATTGCTCACTATTCGTAATATGCTTTTGAAGCCTCTGATTTTAGTCCTTGATTGATTTACTCATACGCTCTATGGCACTTACCTTCAGTCACGTCTGATATTTATCAACATATTGCATCTCCACAGGGCGATTACCCAGCACCGTAAAGAGGATAAATAATTATAAGGGACCACGGTACGGGACGAAGTTGATGAAAAGATAAGGTCAGTCTTTCGTCAGATCTAACTCGGTTCGCTTGTTCCAGGTCACCGTCTTCAACGCTGGCGAACACAATCGTCTGCCATTATCTACTTTCTATGTCTTCTTCGCATCCAACGTATAATACCTCGTGGAGGTGTATCATTCTCATCGATATTGCTCAATCTACCACGAGCTATTATACTTCGTCGGTGCTCATCTGGTCCCCTACCGCCCATGTAGCATATAGCCACAGCCCTCATCGCGCTGAGGCGCGAAACTAGAACGAATATGCTGGCTGATGGAGACGGTCTAGCATCTGCATTCCAGCTTCGCGGATCAATCACGCACGCGCTTATATGCGCGAGCCAACTCAATATTCTACGTTAACTTCATCTCTCCTCGTTGGTGACCTCCCGAGTAATCACCGTGCAGGCTCAGCTGATTAATATCCAGGCTGGTAGAACAGCTGCGTTCTCTCGCATAAGTCTATTGGTCTCGCTGTGTGTGTTCTTCGAGTCGTGCATTCTATAATCATCGGGAGGTGAGCCACTCGTTCGTCGTCGCTACAAGTTACACGTCCATTCTTCAGGACTTCGTCAACAGCAACCCGAATACGCGAGATTCGCCATGGACGGTATTCAAGGCATCCCCGTTCGCACAACTCTAGAATGCACCTCCTTCGATGGGTTGATTCTATCTCACAGATTGATGTTAAAATTCTCGATACTTCAAGCTTAATCCCATGCCTGTTTGTCTGGGAATTGGATGTCCGTGTAGGATTGCCAACGTACGCATTGGGAGCTCGTCGTAAAGCGTCAGACGTTCTCTATGTTTTTTTTCGGATGCGGTGCAATACGAAAGTCCGCGCACAAGACAAGAGATGATACTTGTCCTTGAGCGAGGACAGCGGTATCGAAAATATCCGTAAAAAACCTTGTTCATGTAGCCATCCAGGATAGATGGCATTCGTGACACTGACGATATTTGACAGGCCGTAGTACGCACTATCACAATCGGATACGAGGGGTTAAATATTTAAATGTGGAAGCCGTGGAGATATAATGTGGATACAGAGTACATACTGTCAAGGATCACGCATATGATAAAAGTTAGCATCTGGTTCTGTTGTAATCATGATTGTTATAAATCACCATCATATCGATTTCCTCGTACAAATCCTTAAAAGCCCGTTCGATCGGACACTACATAGCAAGCATATACTGCACAACTGGCATCCTGGACCCGATGCGGCAGACAACCATAAATAGTACACCCAGCTGACGAGCAGACTTATGTCCGCCAGTTCACATCGTGACTTCACGACATTTCTCAGTACCACAAAAAGCCAGTGGGACATCCTACAGCATCTTCACCGAGCTTCGCGATTTCTTTGAGTCCCTTGCCGCCATCAATCCTCTCAAATACCTTCACTCCACCACCTTCCACACCGCCCACAACCAGATACTTATCTTCATCACCTCCAAACGCCATCCCCCGGACATGGGTTAGCCCCGTGCGCACTTCGTTCACAAGCTCTGGCTGGCCCTCTCCGGCGGCGAGAGAGAAAATTGCGATAGTGTCACCCTCTGAATGAGGGTCATTTCTGTTCGACGTGTAGATGAACGTTTCAGGGAAGGATGCGTTGGATTCGGGTAGCAGGATTTCCGCTGCCGTCATGGTGTCCGGTATCGGTGATGCAGAAAGCGTGAACAGAGATGTAAGAGGAGTAGGGGGCGCCGGAAGCGGAGGGAATGTGTGTACAGCAAGCTTCAAGGTGAGCTCCAGCAGCGTGTAAAGGGTGGTTCCTGTCGCAACAATCAACAAGATTTCAGGAATCGAAGTGAATGACACACCTCGAGCTACGACATGTCGTGGGCCACCCCCTGCTTCAAAGTCAATATGACCGCAGATTGCCCACTTGCCATCGTTTCGTTTGGCGAGTCTCCAGACCTTATCTGCACCCAAATCCGGGACCAGGAGCTCTTTCTCTGTTTGGTCCAGTGGATTGAAGAAGATTTGATGGGGGTGGGATGAAGATTGACGAGCTTTGTTTCGACCTACATGCTCAAAGGGCATGGAAAGCGTCCATGGGTTTGGTGAGAGTATGTAAGGGGCAGATGTTGATATCGGAAGGGTCGCGATGGTGCCTGAGGAGTACTGGGTGCAGACGCAAGTGCAACAAAGGGAAAATAATATTCATCGCTCAGAACAGGTGGAGTCGACGTTCTGGGGACTTACATTTCCAATGATGAGCTCGTCCTCCGTGACAAGAAGGGTGCAAGGGTCCGCACCACCACTCTTGGCCCTGGCCACCACCTCTCCTCCCTCAACGATTCCACCCTTTCCATACTTGATCGCGACGACTTCTCCATCTGCCTGTTCGAGCCCTGTATAAATGAGGGATTTATTGGACGGATGAGATGCGATCCATGACGGATGGTACCCAACGGGTGTTCGAGCGAGGAGTTCAAGTGTCGGAGATCCTGTCGATGGTGTTGGATCAAAGGACAGCGTGTAGATCGAGTCAGTGTATGAAGCGACAAGGATTGTAAGCGGTGCCATCGTGGTCTCGGTTACAGATGATTGCACGTAAAGAGCTAGATCGTTGATAAAGAGTTTGATAGACTGTGGGATTCCGTGTGCTTAAAACACTGCTAAGTCAACGTGATACTATTTTGTGGCTCGACCGGGACGATGTTCGGAAGCAGACATTAATGTCCGCGGTGCTCAGAAATGATGGTGGTGTCGTCATCGGCCGCCTAGTTTTGTGTGATGAGCGGGGAATTGATCATAATACGAATCATCTGGGAGCACTTTCTTCGAAGCTGCTCTGTCGTCTATAACATGTAGGAGCCCGTCCTCAATGAAAAGCACTTTGGAGGGTACTTAGCTGCCATTTCATTGCACAGGAACTCCAGCGAGCAATCTCATGCACTTTTCATGCACTGTGCGACCTGTGCTCACTAGTGCAGAGTTAAGCTGTGATATATCTTGACGCAAGATCCTCCATCGCACAAAGCACACGCAGCCTTTGCGGTGTGTGAAATTTAGCCTCCATGATTAATTAGTAGCTGAGCGTCTACGCAGTACTCGCACCTGTGCACATCCACATGTCCTTCGATAGGTCTGACTAGGAGAGACTATTCGGCGCTCTACCACAGTCACCGCCTCGGCCGTACTCCGAGTCAACACCATCAACCTCCAGTAAAATGCCTCAGTTCTCCCAAAACACCACACCGGCCTTCGAGCGTTTAAAGATCATACAAAAACCATATGCGCTGTAGCAGTTTTCCCTGATGGCCGACGAATGGTGACGGGCTCTTTCGACAAGATGCTTTGTTTGTAGGACTTGGAGATAGGTGTTATGTTGAAGAAGATGGAGGGGCATCGCGACAGGGTGACGACATTGGCGGTATCACGGGATGGGCAACTGATAGCAAGCGGTAATCAGAGAGGAGCGTTCATCGTTTGGCACGGGAAAACTGGCGAATTTCTTACCCAATCTACCAAAGCCCACTCTAATCGGATCCACGCACTGGATTTTTCTTCCGATGGATCAGTGCTGGTCACTGGTTCATGGGACAAAACGATGAGGCTGTGGAACACCAAAGCCTGGGAGCAACAAGGAAAACCAATCGAGTGTGGTAGTTATGTCCGCTGCATTCAGTATTCGCCGTCCGGCTGGCTCCTCGCGATTGCAACATACATCGATATTCAAATTTATGATCCACACACGAAGCAATGCGTCGCAGACTTCAAGGGCCAGATTCCATACAACTTTTCACTCGCGTGGACGCCCGATGGCACGCGCCTTCTCACAACAGGAAATCAAAATGATCCAACCATACGGGAGCGGGATCCAGTGACCTGGAAGCAGGTCGGTGAACCCTGGACCGGCCACACTGACTCTATCAATGCCATTGCCATTAATCCTGCTGGGACGCTTGTCGCCTCCTCATCTGATGACAACCACATTCGTCTCTGGCGGCTCTCAGATCGACGAGCCGTTGCCACATTCAGGCACTCATCCTCGCTGGAATGTGTCACTTTCTCCGTAGACGGTAAGCACATCCTCAGCGGAGGCCTTGATAAGATGATCTCAGAGTGGGCAAGTACCTCAGGGTATTCATCCAAAGGCACGTTTCCATCCTTGACTCATATACCACAAATCGAGCATGTTTCGTACAGATCCTAGCCATCACGACATCCCGCGATGCATGCATTTATCTACCGCAGAAGAACTACTCACGCAAGATATCAACACCGATGCGAACAACCATACTTCCTACGCCCATCGTTCGTTCGTTATGGCGCGAAAACACGACTGGGATTGCGCTCTTCAGGATGCAATCGAGGTAAGATTCACTGACTCATCATGGCCCCCTTACAACAGGCTAACTTGAAGGTGACATCACATAGTTCATCAGCATTCAGCCCTCGTTGACAGACTATATATCCAAGGGTATTGCCCTCTGCGGAAAAGGCCGCGTCCGAGAGGCAAGGGCAGCATTTGATGTTGCATCTATGTACACGGACCAAGATTCAGAAACCATTCATTTTCTCCTCTTGATCAAAGTATGTTAATTTGCTTCGCATACACAGCACACAGCAGGAAAAGAATGCTTCGGACAGATGTCCCAAACGTTCAAAACTTCACCTGTCAGATGCGATGTCACCGCCTTTGACTGTCACTGTACGAGGCCAAACTTTCGAGCCAACACCTGTGTTCGATACGCTTTCGGCGTTTCGCGGCAGAAAGACACGCTATGAATCGAGAAGCGTTTCAAAGGCCTCCCTGCCCCGTATGTATACACCCATTCCTCTAGCGGGCCCAACTCAATGTATTTGGTAGATGGACGGACGACCCCATTTTAGAAACTTATCCATTCTGCAATACGTACTGTGTTCTAGACCGGGTGAGCCAATACATAATCATAGAAGTCATCGAAAAAGGTTCTCAAGATCCCACTGAACTTGTGTTCCGAATTCTGCTTTTCAACGTTCACGAGCATCAACACGTATAAAATTATGCGACGCGCGATCGCACCTTTCACTTGGGCCACTTACGAACGAGCCGATTACGAACGCGTCTTGCGTCGTTTGCACGATGACAGAGTCTCGATATGCACTGGGGCTTTTCAAAAGCCTGCACCTAGTCTAGGCTTTGTGGAAAACTTCATATATGCATCTCGCTCTCATGGAGGTCTTGATGAAAGAATTGCCCATGCGGTGCGCAGAGGCCGAGTACATCGCGGATGGTTGTGCACCTTTAAGAGCATGGGAGACTTCACTGCGTACCAGCTAGTGCTGAACCTCTCCTATTCAAGTGTTTTGAACTTCTCGGACTACGATTTTGTGGTGGTCGGGTTGGGTTCATGTCGCGGCCTTCAACGCCGTTTCGAAGGTCTCATTCCTCACAAATGCGAGGTTGACATAATCCGATGGATGCAACTCACGCAGGGCGATCATTTTTCGCGCCTCGACCTGAAGTTTAATGGCTTGGGGCCTTGAAGCTCGTCCTATTATGCTGTGCGATATCGAGCACACCTTATGCTGAGGTCGATAGATACGTCAGGAAGCTCGGCACACCAGCCCGTCGCTGCCTTTCACCCATCTGGCGCACTTCCAAAGATGCATCCTCCAAAGGCATGGACGCTTCCTGAGCGGCTATCGCTCCGTATCAAATGCCAGAAGGAAGCAGAAGTCGAATTCATCGAGAAGTTCGTTGTGTCATCAATTCAATCGCACCGAGGAGCGGAAGGCGAAAGAGAATTTTTAGTTTACTGGGTGCTTAATGTGCTTAGTGCCGTCGGATAAACCTCTTTGGCTTTGTGGAGAAGTTCAACATCTCTTTCATAATTTAGATACAGGTGGTCTATGTACTCAAGAAATACGTTGATATACAGATTTAGGCACTTATCAACATGTGTATATGAAGAAAATGTTCTGTCTATCAGTGAGGTCAGCAAATGCGTGACGCTCCCTTTCCCGTTGCACATCATCATCAGTCCAACCTCGGCGCGCCTTTTCTTCCTCCAGCTGGGCTTTCCGCTTTCTGTTCAAGCGGACATTGATCCAGCGTAGTAAAAGCGAAACGAACAATTGAACGATCATCAAGACCATGATCGCAGTCTTTCCTGGAATATAGGCTGGCGCGTCTTTAGGCTGGAATATCTCGGTCCCGATAATATTGCCAATGCTGAAAGTGGCCATCGTCATTGCATTAATTGTCACCTAAGCACCACATAAATAAACTGAGGAAATAAAGGAGGATAAGCAACATCAAACGTACCTTCTTGGTATGGCCACTGGTGTTACTTGCGTTGTATGCGTAAATCGTGGAGAGAGCACTGCTGAAGGTACCGATGATGTATATTGCTGCCGCGAAAATCAGATTTCATGAAAACATTAAATGGTGACAATTGGACAGACCAAACAGCAGAACACCCTTGTTGGAGGATCCGTTCAAGCCAATAAGGATGGCTAATTCTCATTTTCAACCGACGTTCCTTCCAAATATTACGAACATACCTGAGGCGACAATTGTAGGAATCAAAGCGAACACGACGGGGATCATCCGCTCGCCCTAAAGGTGGTTGAGATAATTAATTATTGAGATAGTTTTAGGCCCTCTACCTTCTTGTCAGAATACCATCCGCAGAAAATCACCATCGTGGAAGCAATAAATCCCGCAGGAGTGGAAAGAATCAGGGTTTGCTTTGATCTAGGAGAAATGCATATTAGTGAGAAGCAAAGACAGCACGGTTCACGCACGTATATCCGAAACTTTCGATGATAATGTTGCTGACTGCAGTCAAAATTAACTTCCACTGGGCTAATTTCTGTCGATGCGACTTACAGTTACTCAAAGCTCCATTGGGGATACACGCTATAAAATCTGTGTCAGCTACCTTTTATGCATATTCAAGTCAAAGGTTTACTCAATACCGTTGAAAAAACAACGAGCCATGTGCGAGGGTCCGTTAAGGCTTCGATGACCTGGTCCTTCTTGAATTTCTTGTTCTCCGTACCTCCTTGATCATTCCGGACACGTTCAAGAGCAGCAATACGCTCCTCTCTCGTCAGCATGGAAGCATTGACTGGCGAATCTGGTAGCCAGATCAAGACGACTATGCCAATAACGATCGCAAGAGCGCCAAGTAGTATATAAATAATTTTGTAGGGCGCTAAAACCTTGCCGTTATCGAATGTGATGCCCTGGAAGAGTATAAATCATTCATACACCCCCTAGTGCATTGAGCGCCACTCACGTACGCCACGAAACCACCGAACACTTGGGTTAGGCCATTCTAAAACAAGGTCAAGGGCAATGCATATTTTGAATTGTAAGACAGTCGCACCATGACGTAGAACCATGAAATACGTTGAGCCTTATGACTGTCAGTCAAATAGTACTATATTTCACACGAAAATTCTCGCGTACCTGTTCATCCTTCTTGTAGAACATCGAGATGATGAGAATGAGACACGGTGAGACACAAGACTCGCACATTCCTGACCATTTCGAGTTTGTGTCTTGTTTCTTTGAAACGCGAAGAGGCTTACCCAGAAGGAATCTGAGAGCAAAGAAGGCTCCGAAGTTGTTTGTTGAGGCATGCAACATGAGGATTATTCCCCATACAACAATGTTGCCGCCTTCAATGGGTTAGTTGATTTGCAGCTGATACTATGGTTCATTGATTTCGCTCTCACCGAGATACTTGGCCAACCGAAGTTTCTGCGAGATATAGACGGTCGGAAACTCCCAAAAGAGGTAACCTGTGGTTGAACAGTTCGTGAGATCTATGCCGGTTTGCAGGATCGAAAATCTTACCCAGGTAGAAGGCCATGGATACCAAGTTGTA